TTGTTGGTTATTTGATGTAAAAATAAATCATCGTATTTAAAATGATAAAACAAACATACCCCTTTTATTTATAATTAATTTGTATGAAACAAATTTAGAATAGTCAGTGAAAATAACATGACACTTAATAAAATAATTACATTCAGTTGAAATAATGAAAGTGTTAAATATTTCACATGGAAAGGAAAAAAATAAAAGTGAGTGAGAATGATGAATATGAAGAAATTCACACAGAAAATGTATTATATGTTATTTGACTTATACAACCATAAACAAACAATATTTTCATCATTACTCAATACATTTATTGTGTTTTACTATTTTTCTTTTTTAAACTGATTAAAAAGGATATTATCTGTTTTGAAAGTATTTTAGAAAGTATTTCATCATTTTTCTTTTATCAAATTCAAAACATAAATCATTTATAATGTTTAATTAATTTTCAATTTTTTTGGTGTTATTTATCTTTTTATCATCACTAACACCAACAACACCACCAACAACACCACCAACAACACCACCAACAACAGCACCACCAACAGCACCACCAACAGCACCACCAACACCACCAACAACAGCACCACCAACACCACCAATGACAACACCACCAATGACAACACCACCAACAGCACCAACAGCACCACCAATGACAGCACCACCAATAACACCAATAGCAACACCAACACCAACACCAAGGGAAATAAAACCTAAAACTTTAACAACACCCCATACTTTTTCCTTAAAAGTTTTTTTCTTTTCTGTTTTAATTCCTCTGCTAAATAAATACCATTCACTTTCTATTTCTTTTCCATCATTTGTTATTTTAATACATCTTCTGTATGTCTTTTTTTCATATGTTATATCAGACTTTGTTTCTTTTATTGTTTTAGTTTCTTCTTTTTCTTCATATCTAAATTCTTTATATTTACTGACTAATTTCTTAATTTCTTCTTCATCAATTAATTCTAATCCTCTTCCCCATTCAATTAATCTTTTTATTTCATTCTCTGATCTGCTATTATCAAAATCTTCATCTGGTTGTGAATC